GTGTGTGTGTGTGTGTGTGTGTGTGATATCTTGGTGAATTCTGCTCGTCAGAATACCGAAATCGAAGAAACCAACATTGGGTTGGGTAGCTAGCCTATAATTTGCACCCACCAGCACCCAGGTGCACATACAAGACTTGGGGACGATTGTGACGCTCAGTTGATAAGATATGATATTTTATTTGGTACTCAAACTAGTTCCGTCTTTGTATAGAATAAATTTTATTGTTACAGTATTCATTGTTTCAGTGTATTTGATGTTTGAATATATGCCATACTACTTTTTCATAAAAGTTTTTCCTCCGTGTGTATTCCTCTTAATTTCTCTTGATAATTCTTTTAACCTTTTCTTTTCTTTTTAGAAATAGTCTGCACCCCGTGTAACTTTTTAAAACATTACTTCTTCTAATGGTATGGGGTCTCTGATAAAAGTAAAAGTAGGCCTACATGTAATTACAACACATCTAAATGGAAGGCAATATTTTTTCTGTTACTTTAACAGCCCTTTTTGTGTACAAGAAGGAAAACACCAAAAACCGAAACGAGTTTAAGAACGCCCAGCTAAGGGTTCGAACCAAGGCCATCCACTGTGTAGCCCAGCATGATCACTATTGAGCTAACAGAACGCAACATCAAAGAGTCAATTGTGCTGTTTCATTACTAATGCCTCTCTGTAAACAGTGGGTTCTTTTTCCTGCTGACTTGTTTTTGGATTGTGCTAAATGCCTGTGATCTATATTTACGAAAAATATTTAACATGATGATCTTTTCTCATCCCAAAATTACTGACAACTGTCATCCTTTGCTTTTTTAAATTTTGAATCACTTTCTTTTTCTTTCCTCGTGAAAAATTTAGAGTTAAGTACATGTATAACTTCAATTGATTTATGTTCATTAACTCTTGTTTTGAAAGATGGTCTTGTGTTATGAAAAACTGTCTTTTTTTCAAGGTTTTCAATTTTTTCCTTAATCTTTGTGTTATCCCTCTCATACATTTTCCATGTAGTCTGCGTCAAATTTTAGCCTGTTTTCTGCAGTCAACATACAACTTTAGAACATATTGTAACCTTCAGTTTTTAAAAAAAATAGCAACATGTTCGACATAAGGATGCAAATGATGACATATGAGTCCATATGACCATATGTAATTACATTTTGAGTCCTTCCCAGGGCAGGATAATATATATGTTTATTACATAATATACAGAAATCACACTTGTATTGTCAGTAAAGAATCTCGTCCTCTGTTCTTTTATTGCTGTTTGGACATTAATTTATTAACACAAAATATTTTTTCATACTCCTATCTTGATTTACATGAAGAATAACTATTGAATACATCTGTGGATTAGCAGTGGATGAACGTTTGAGAAATAAGTTTGGAAGGCGTGTTCTCAGAGTTATAGTAGCTCTTACTGATCTGCTTCAGGCGAGACAGATACTGATAGTACATCATCCTCATCATCATCCTCATCATCATCATCATCATCATCATCATCATCATCATCATCATCATCATCATCATCATCATCATCATCATCATTACCCCTGTCGTAGTATGATAAAAAATTTAAAAAATATAAAAATTTACTGAAGACATGAGTATTTCTGAATTTTAAGATATTATAAAAAAATCAGGGCCATCATTATCGTCGCCATCATCATTATCATCATCATCATTATCATTCCTGTCGAAGTACCATAAGAAAAAACAAAAAAGTTGATGAAGACTTGAGTATTTCTAAATTTTATGACATTATAAAAAAACATCATCATCATCATCTTCTTCTTCATCATCTTCTTCTTCATCATCATCCCGCGGACAATATTATACATGTAATTATTTATAACGACGACAATGTCAAAGTAACTCGGCCCTTGATTAAAGCGGCCGGGGGAACTCTGACAGTAGCCTACTATTGTTGCATCTCTTTTCTTTGGGGGGGGGGTGTACTTACGCTCGTAAACTATCAATTATTATAATAAATACTTTATGCCAGGCTGGGGTTTGTTTGGTTTTTTTTGTTGGTTTTTTTGTGTGTTTTTTTTTTGTTTGGGGGTGGGGGGTTGGGGGGGTGTCTGTTTGTTTTATTTCGGAACCAAACTACTCCATAAAAATTTAAAGTACAGTTTTCTTCAACCCATCAGTGCCTTGTTCTAATGCATCACTATCAAAAGGCTAGCGGCCAGTGATGTCACCGTGTGCAGTCAATATAGGCCTACATGTAATGCATTCTTGCTTTTTTCATAGTAGGCTGTGTGAACTAGGAACTGGCACATTAAAAATTCGTGCCGTATGCATGATACATGTAGATTTCTGTTCAACTTCACAGAGAGATATTGCCGGCACAAAAAAGGATTTCAAACTTGGTTGTTTTTGTTGGGTTGTTTTTTTTTCAATCAGCCTATTCTGTTTTGCAACTGACTCATTCCCCGGCGTTTTTCATCTTCCAAGTATCATGTTTTTCCCAGCTGAAGATCAAGCTTGCAAATGATTTGACCCCCCTGTTTCGCCGAATCCTGTCACTATAAGCTATAGTAACAATAAACATGCCGTGTTTATCATCAGTGTAACTCTTTAAACCGGCGGATCTATGCCTTCCTAAGTATTTTTCCAGAGGCACATACCAATTTACTTTTTATTCAGATTCTATGCATTTTAGCATATTGATTGTTTGACAAAAACACAAATGGTCAAAGCTTGTGATTTCCATGAATAGCCTACAGTTAGGCAACCACGGCAGAAGACAAAATTGGGGACTTCGGCCGGTAAGTGAAAGATACCCACATA